CTTCCCTTCCATCTCCAAAAACTGGATTGCCTCCTGCAGAAGTTTCTCCCCTTGGGCATCGTCATGCGCACTTCTTGCCGGACGGACGGAGGGAGGGAGGGAGGTTTGGCATAGGGTTTAAGTCAGGATTAAAGAGCTCAACCATGCCGCAGCAGGAGATCCAAGTGCCAAAATGGGACGCTGTGCCTGGCAAGCGGTTCTGTCTCTTTTCTCCGCGCTCTCCGCTCTCCCATCTTGATGGATTTGCATCTCTTTCCAAACAGGCTTTTGGTAAGTCTTTCCTTTGCAGAGGAAGAAGGAAGACTTAGCAAAAGAAAACTCCCTTTGCAATGCTTATCTGCAGAAGGGGAAAATAATTGCACCCCACTCATACAAAGGTGCAAACTTTGGGCCCGAGTGAACGCCTTTCCCTTTTGATTCTGCTCAAAACAAACCAGAATCTGCGCAGCCCACCTCCTCCAAGGTGAACTGAACCACCTCAACTGGGCTCTCCAGGCCAATGGAGACTCCATCTCAGACATCAGAAGAGCTGCAAGACCAAGAACAAGCCACGAGAGTCAAGATGAAGATCCACCCAGAGGAAAAGTGTTCCTGCCATACATCAAGGGAACCACTGACCGCAGAGGGAAGCTGATGAGGAAACACAACATACAAACTATCTACAGACCCACCAAGAAAATCCAACAAATGCTACATTCAGCAAAGGACAAGAGGGATCCTCTCACCTCTGCAGGAGTCTACCGTATACCATGCAGCTGTGGACAAGTCTACATAGGGACCACCAAACGCAGCATTGCCCAAACACGAATCAAGGAACATGAAAGGCACTGCAAACTACTCCAACCAGAGAAATCAGCCATAGCAGAGCACCTGATGAACCAACCTGGACACAGCATATTATTTGAGAACACAGAATGCTGGACCACTCTCACAACCACCATGTCAGACTACACAGAGAAGCCATTGAAATCCACAAGCATGTGGACAATTTCCACAGAAAGGAAGAAACCATGAAAATGAACAAAATCTGGCTACCAGTATTAAAAAACTCAAAAATTACAGCAGCAAAACAACAGAGGGGAAACAAACAGGCACATGAAATCACTCTCAACAAAAGATTCCCCCCAGGCACTGCCAAGCCATTGAATGCAAATCAAGGTGATCAGCTGAAACATTCACAGCTAGCCCCAGCAAACAAAAGTCCTTTGTCTCACCCTGGTCATTCCACAGATATATAAACCCATTTTTCCTACTTCCAACAGACCTCACTACCTCTGAGGATGCTTGCCATAGATGCAGGCGAAACGTCAGGAGAAAATGCCTCCAGAACATGGCCATATAGCCCGGAAAAACCCACAACAACCCATGGATTCCGGCCATGAAAGCCTTCGACAATACATTAAACCAGAAACTGTCAAAGGCTTTCATGGCCGGAATCATTAGATTGTTGTGAGTTTTCTGGGCTGTCTGGCCCTATTCCAGAAGCATTCTCTCCTGATGTTTCACCTCCATCTATGGCAGGCATACCCAGAAGTTGAGAGGTCTGTTGGAAACTAGGCAAGTGGAGTTAATATACCTGTGGAATAATCCAATACGAATCAAGGTGGCCAACTGCAACCTTCACACTTGCCTAAGAAAACCCTATGAAATCCGCGCGATCCATAATAAGTCTTGAAGATACACCAAGACTCGGAGGCGCCCAAACAGTAATAATAATAGTGAGTTGTGAGTTTTCCAGGCTGGTCATGTTCCAGAAGCATTCTCTCCTGATGTTTCACCCACATCTATGGCAGGCATCCTCGGAGCTTGGAAACTAAGCAAGTGAGGTTTATATATCTGTGGAATAATGCCCAGGGCGGGAGAAAGAACTTTTGTGTATTGGAGATAAGTGTGAATGTTGCAATTGGCCACCTTTTGATTAGCATTGAATGGCTTTGCAGCTTCAAAGCCTGGCTGCTTCCTGCCTGGGAGAGTCCTTTTTGGGAGGTGTTTACTCTAAAATCAGGACAGTAAATAAAGAGGTAAGGTAAAGGTTGTCCCCTGACATTAAGCCCAGCCATGTCTGACTCTGGGGTGTGGTGCTCATCTCCATTTCTAAGCCAAAGAGCCGGCATTGTCCATAGACACCTCCAAGGTCATGTGGCCGGCATGACTGCATGGAGTGCCGTTACCTTCCCGCCGGAGCAGTACCTATTGATCTACTCACATTTGCATGTTTTCGAACTGCTAGGTTGGCAGAAGCTAGGGCTGACAGCGGAAGCTCATGCCGCTCCCCGGAATCGAACCTGCGACCTTTCGGTCAACAAACTCAGCAGCTCAGTGCTTTAACATACTGCGCCACTGGGGGCTCCAAATAAAGAGCAACTTATAAAAATGGGAATTCCAGACAGGAAACAATTGGGGCCAGCTAACACCTGTGGGCAACGGATTCAGTTTGACACCAATTTTAATTGCTGTTGCTTGAATGGCCATGCAGCCTCAAAGCCTGGCTGGTTGCTGCCCTTGGTAGTCCTTTGTTGTGAGGTGTTAGCTGGCCCTGGGCAGCAACCAGCCAGGCATTGAAGCTGATGGTTGCTTCTGCAACATGGCCAGACAGCCCAGAAAACTCACAGCAACACAGAGAGGACACTTCTAAGGAAGTCCTCTTTGGGTAAGTAGGCGTCTTGAAATGAAAGGATAGTGCTTTGCAGAAAGGAAGGAGAGGAAGAAGAAAAGGGTTGTGGCAGCGCCTTGCAATTGCACAATGGGATTTTTCTCTGGGAGTTTTGAACTGACTTTTGGTCGGTAGATGTATGGCTTTTGCACGTCATTAGGAATTGACATTGCAACCATCGGAAAGACCTGTTCTCTCCTAACATTTTGGGAAAACATAAGGCAAGGGGCTCAGTTTGCATATCTCAGGATTGCTTCATAAATTGAGGCACATTGCAATGCAGGAGTGGGCTTGCAATATCCATCAAGCTAAAATATAAACTGGTTAGTCCAATATTTAAGGGTGTAATAATAATAATAATAATAATAATAATAATAATAATAGATTTCCATGCAACAAAACATACAGAGTATCCAAAACATAACCATAACATTATCATATATATATATATATATATATATATATATATATATATATATATCCAATCTTACCCTATTCTTTCATGCAAAATTACTGATAATCAATGGGGAAAGGAGGCACACAGTGTAACAAAAACCTCAACACTTTGGATTTGGAGGATTCCAAAGAATATTTCGAGAAGGCAACCTGTTTGTAATACTTTTGGAGTGAGAAAGGTATGAGTGTCCATATGGTTACAGAACCTCTGAAAGGAAGCTTGAGTAAGTTTTCTTTCACATCTCCCCCCTTTTTACATTGCATCTTCGCCTTCTAACTCTAGTATCCCTGAGTTGGAAGGAACCCCAGGAGGCCATCTAGTCCACCCTGACAGGAATGCACACACTATCCCATCATCCCATTTTTGGTTTACAGACCTCCAGTGAGGGACAGACCCCCTAAACATCCATTCCTGCTTGCAGGTTTCCTTCTGGGAAGTTCCTAGAAGGTGGAAGGGAACTCAAGAGACCATCTAGTCCACCCTCTTTGCCAGGTAGGAACGTAGACACAATCCCATCTTTGGTTTAAAGACCTCCAATTAGGGAGGGACCCTTTAAGCATCAAGCTTGAGCATTTCCATTTGGGAAGTTCCTAGAAGGTGGACAAGGTCCCAAGAGACCATCTAGTCCACCCTCTTCATCAGTCAGAAAGAAACACACCATCCCATCTTTGGTTTGATGACCTTCAATGAGAGGGAGACCCCTTAAGCATCCATTCCTGCTTGAAGATTTCCTTCTGGGAAGTTCCTAGAAGCAGGAAGGGGCCCCGAGAGGCCATCTAGTCCACCCTCTATCAGGCAGGAACACACACACCATCCCATCTTTGGTTGAAAGACCTCCAATGAGGGAGAGACCCCTTAAACATCCATTCCTGCTTGAAGGTTTCCTTCTGGGAAGTTCCTGGAAACTGGAAGGGTCCCAAAGAGGCTATCTAGTCCACCCTCTTTGCCAGTCAGGAAGACACACACTATCCCATCTTTAGTTGAAAGACCTCCAGTGAGTTACAGACCTTTTAAACATCAATTCCTGCTGGAAGGAAAGGAGGGAGGGACCCCTTAAGCATCCACTTCTGCTTGAAGGTTTCCATCTGGGAAGTTCCTAAAAGCTGGAAGGGGCCCCAAGAGGCCATCTAGTCCACCCTCCATCAGGCAGGAATGCACATACCATCCCATCTTTGGTTTGATGACCTCCAATAAGGGAGAGACCCCTTAAGCATCCATTCCTGCTTGAACGTTTCCATCTGGGAAGTTCCTAGAAGGTGGAAGGGACCCCAAGAGACCATCTAGCCCACCCTCTTCATCAGTCAGGAAGAAACACACAATCCCATCTTTGGTTTAAAGACCTCCAATGAGGGAGAGACCCCTTAAACATCCTTTTGTGGTTGAACATTTCCATTTGGGAAGTTCATAGAATGTGGAAGGGGTTCCAAGAGGCCATCTAGTCCACCCTCTTTGCCAGTCAGGAAGACACACACTACCCCATCTTTGGTTTGAAATACTTCCGAAGAGGGGGAGACCCCTTAAACATCCTTTCCTGCTTGAAGGTTTCCTTCTGGGAAGTCCCTAGAAGCTGGAAGGGGTCCCAAGAGGCCATCTAGTCCACCCTCCATCAGGCAGGAATGCACACACCATCCCATCTTTGGTTTGATGACCTCCAATGAGGGAGAGACCCCTTAAACATCCATTCCTGCTTGAAGGTTTCCTTCTGGGAAGTCCCTAGAAGCTGGAAGGGACCCCAAGAGGCCAGCTAGTCCACTCTCTTGACAGATGCCCCTCCAGCCTGGGTGGAAAAGCCTCCCCATTATCCCACCTTGTTTGAAATCAAAGGGATGTACAAACACCAAGAAGGAGGCCAGGGGTGTGCAGGACAGCCCTTCTCCCTGGGACACTCACCGCTGGGCAGGCGCATCTCTTGGGCTTCCCCTGGCAAAGCCTGGATGGGCAGCAGCAGCCAGGAGAGGAAGAGCAGGGGCTGCAGAAGGGGCAGCAGAGGGGGTCTTCCTCCTTTTTGGGGTTCCTCCATCTCCAGCTGCAGAGAAGAGAGCCCAAAGTCCAGCAATGCCTCCACCGCCTGCCTCTCCAGACCCAAAGAGGAAAGAGGAGGAGGAGGAGGAGGATGCAGGCTCAGCTCCTCCTTCCCCAGCCAAGGGAAGGGAGAAAGGGAGGTGCATCCCCCTCTCTTTCCATTTGCAACCAATGTGCTGCTGCTGCTGCTCTTTCTCTCTCTCTCTCTGCCTAAAAGTGGGCAGCTTTAATGCACTTTGGAAATAGTTAGATAGACACACATATAAACACACAACTATCTATCTATCTATCTATACACACATACATTTCCAAATATATAAACATGTACAAACACATATACACATACATACACAATCATATACACATATACACACACAAATATTTATACATACACACATATACACATAAATATATACATACATAATCATATATATATGCACACACAAACACAACAACCATATGCACATATACACACATATACAAACCCACATATACACAATCATATATATATGCACACACACATAACCACATATATACACACATATACATACACTTATATGCACATACATAAATACACAGATATATAATCATATATATATTTACAGAAACACTTATACATGCACACATATACACATACACAAATACACACGCATATACACAATCATATATATATACACACAAACACAACCAAATATATATACTTACACACATATACACAATCGTATATACACACACACACATATAACCGAATATATACACATATACATAATCATATACATACACACAAACATACAACCATATATACCATATATATATATACACACACACATATACACACACATACATACACACATAACCAAATATATACACGCATATACATATGCCTATATGCACATACATAAATACACACATATATTATCATATATATATATATGTGTGTGTGTGTGTGTGTGTATTTATGTATGTGCATATAGGCATATGTATATGTGTGTATATATTTGGTTATGTGTATATATATATATATATATACACACACACACTTATACATACACTCATATACACGTACATAAATACATACACACATATACACAATCATATATATACACACAAACACACACAACCATATATATATATATATATACATATATACACACACATATACTCAATCATATATATATATACACACACACATAACCAAATATATACACATACATATACATATGCCCATATGCACATACATAAATACACACATATTTAATCATATATATACACACAGACACTTATACATGCACACATATGCACATGCATAAATACACACACATATGCACAATTATATATACATATACAAAATCAACTAAATTTTTTATCTATACACATACATAACCATATATATATATGTATGTATGTGTGTATATATACACACACACATATACAGTATATACACAGCAATATATATATATATATATACACACACACATACACATACACACAATATATCTTAGCATTTTCAAAATGTACTAAAGCTTCACATTTTGCACATATATTTATGCATATATAAGCACAGACATTTTCAAATTGCACAAAAGCTGTACATCTTACGCAAATATACATGGATATATATTTATATACAAAGTGCCATGAAGCTGCACATTTTACACACCCACAGACTTAGATATTTCCACCAATAGATATTTCCACCATTTTCAAAATGAGACAACACTGCTTTATTTATATGCATATATACATAAGTATTTTCAAAGCGTGAGAAAGTTGTGCATGTTTGCATACACACAAACACATACATTTAAAAGGACAGAAGTAAAGGAAACTTTGCAAGCTGTGCTTTTCTCCGTTAAGGGTCCATTTATACGTCTTGCATTAATCCAAAGGCCTTTAGGTGCAAGAAAGCAGCATCTCCAGATGCAAGAAGATGTGGGCAAAAATAGGTGGATTTTTGCAGAGCTTCTGGATGCTGAGCTTGCATTTCCTGAACGGAGGGGCTTCCCGGCCAAGTTTCCGCTCATCCGAGGCCGTTTGGACACTCTCCGGAGCCGGGAGGACACAATAGGAACACATCCAAGCCCATGATTGTTATTGCAGCTCCAGAGTTGGAAAATAAAACAGGAGAATCTGCTTTGAAATGATGAATTTCCAAAGTACTGGTTGTAGGTTGTGGGCTCCAAATGATGGCTGTTTGTGGGAACTTTGTCCTTTCAATCAAAGCAGGTGCAATTGCTATTAATTCATTAATATACCACCTTTTGATCCATTAATATATTTCCAGCTTGGCCATGGAAACTCACTGGCGGACTTTGGATGAGCCACAAACTCTCAGCATAAGGAACTTGTGGGTGAACTACAACTCACATCATGCTAGGTTAACCCCATGAAACTCCATCAGTAGTTAAAGTTTGTCATGTTGGGCAAGTTTGCTTGCTAAATGCATCATTGGTGGGGTCCATGGGGTCTCTGGCTGCAGGGTGAACTACAGCTCCCACCATGGTGGGTCAGTGACCTCAAATCACTCAAGTAGGTTCAGTTGCTCATAGGGGTCCTGTGTGCCGAGTTTGGGCACAGTGTCTCTGGATGCAAGTGAACTACAACTTCCAAAAGTGAAGGTCAGTTCCCCCCAAACACTTCCAGTATGTTCAGTTGGTCTTGGTGGTTGTATGCGCCAAGTTGGGTCCAGGGCCATCATTGGTGGGGTCCAAAGTGCACTTTGATTGCAGGTGAACTATAAATTCCAGTACCTAAAATCGCTATAAATCAAGTATTTCCAGTTGGTCATGGGGGTTCTGTGTGCCAAGTGAGTTCCAGGGCCATCATTGGTTGAAGTCCAAAACACCTGGAGGGCCCAAGTTTGCCCAGGGCTGGGATGGATGGATGGATGGATGGATGGATGGATGGATAGATAGATACATACATACATACATGGATTTGACCTTTGGTGAGTCATCAACAGGCAAGTTGGAGGCCCCATCTACATAGCCATTTAAAATCCAGATTATCTGCTTTGGACTGGATTATGAGTCTACACTGCCATATAATCCAGTTCAAAGCAGATTATCTGGATTTTATATGGCAGTGTAGATTGGGGCCTAAGAGTGAATCTACACTGTAGAATAAATGCAGTTTGGCACCACTTTCATTGCCATGACTGACTGCTATGGGACTCTATGGAAGTTGTCATTTGGTGAGGCATGAGCAGTCTTTGGAAGAGAAGCCTAAACAGATTGCAAAACTATAACTCCAATGGTTTCAATGCCATGGCAGTTAAAATGGTGTCAGACGGCATTAATTCTAAAGTGATCAAGGGTCTGGAGAACAAGCCCTATGAGGAGCGGCTTAAAGAGCTAGGCATGTTTAGCTTGAAGGAGAGAAGGCTGAGAGGCGACATGATGAGGGCCATGTATAAATACGTGAGAGGAAGTCATAGAGAGGAGGAAGCAAGCTTGTTTTCTGCTGCCCTGGGGACTAGGACGCAATGGAGCAATGGCTTCAAACTACAAGGAGATTCCATCTGAACATGAGGAAGAACTTCCTGACTGTCAGAGCCGTTCAGCAGTGGAACTCTCTGCCTCGGAGTGTGGTGGAAGCTCCTTCTTTGGAAGCTTTTAAGCAGAGGCTGGATGGCCATCTGTCGGGGGTGCTTTGAATGCAATTTTCCTGCTTCTTGGCAGAATGGGGTTGGACTGGATGGCCCAACTCTATGATTCTAGTGTAGATGCTCTTTAAGACATTGCTGCCTGTTGTGTAATGAAGCACACAATGAACGGCATGAGCAATCCAATATAACTGCCGTGGTGCAAATTTATGCTGAATAGGATCTTGACAGGAAACAAATCATTTCCTCCATGCTGGCTGATTCAGAGAGGAACGCAGATCATTTGATCTGTTTCGGATTTGTCACCGGCGACAAAAAGCGGTTGCACAAACGTCTGAATTGTCTCATTGCAAAGCACCGGGCTTGGACGTCCATCCGGGGCTCTAAAACTTTTGTCTGCAGCTGGAAGCCGCTGCGGATTTACTCAGAGCCAAGTAATGATGGACATAATTCGTTCTGGTTGTCTTTCTATTCGCAGAGGAGGGGTTTCTTGGAAGCCGGAGTCTTAATGGCTCCAAAGAGCGAACATTAAAACTCAGCCTTGGAAAACTCGTCAGCAGTTTTCTAGGCGGGATCTTGAATTATGAAGAGCAGAACGCCAGCGAAAAAGCAGGCAAGCCCGAAGCAGAGACCCCGTTGCAGGAGCTGACTGGCAAAAAAAGGGAAAGGTTCATTAACATTCTGCTGATTGGGGTGTTTCACCAGGTTTTGCCCCACTTCTCCTTTCCTTTTTGATGAATTAACATTAAGCCTGTAATAGATTTGAGCAGGTTAGGCACTCTGAGGAGATGAAGGGAGAAATCATGTCATAACACTATGGAACACTATGATTTTTGTTCCCAAGCTACAGATGTCATTTTCTAGTTGGTTCTATCATTAAATTGCTGTCGCTCCATCTTCCGTGCCGAGGAGCTTTGTTGTCCGTAGACGTCCTCCTGATCGAATTGCCGGTATGTCCTTATGGGCACCTTTTATTACCTCCCTGCTTAAAGTGGTACCTATTTATCTACTCACATTGCTGTTTTTGATCTGCTATTATTTATTTATTATTTAGGTTCTTGTGGGTTTTTTCGGGCTATAGGGCCATGTTCTAGAGGCATTTCTCCTGATGTTTCGCCTGCATCTATGGCAAGCATCCTCAGAGGTGAGGTGATTGCCATAGATGCAGGCAAAACGTCAGGAGAAATGCCTCTAGAACATGGCCCTATAGCCTGAAAAAACCCACAAGAACCTAGTGATTCCAGCCATGAAAGCCTTCGACAATATATTTATTATTTATTTATTTGGTAGTTTTGTATACCGGTCTTCTCACCTCCATTCGAGGGACTCGAGCCGGTTTCCAACATCCATATTACAGACCGTCATTAAAACATCATATTTCTAAATCACACTAAAACATTAAAACATTGAAACAATTAAAATAGCAAAAATACAATCATATACAGTGGTCAGTCGTCAACAAAGTCATTATTCGTCGTCATCCATCCATCTGCAAGGTGAGCAGAAGCTTGGCTGATGGCGGCATCTCACCTCGACCCGGATTTGAACTGCCAATTTTCGATCGGCAGGATTTTCTGCAGCTGGCGGTTTAACCACAGTGGTCCACACTCTGGTTACATCCCGAAGAGACTACTGCAACGCTCTCTACGTGGGGCTGCCTTTGAAAACTTCTCAGAAGCTCCAATTAGTCCAGCTGTCGGCAGCCAGGTTGTTAACTGGAGCTGCGTACAGGGAGCGTACCACGCCTCTGTTGCGCCAGCTCCACTGGCTGCCGATTGGCTTCCGGGCACAATTCAAAATGCTGGTTTTAACCTTTAAAGTCCTGAACAGTTCTGGCCCAGATTACCTCCTGCTATGAACCATCACGAAGCCCTGCTCTCGATCCCACCACTCTCACAAACGTGGTTGGTGGGGAGAGGCAGGGCCTTCTCGGCAGTGGCCCCCCGTCTGTGGAACATATCTCCTGCTATGAACCATCACAAAGCTTAAGATCATCAGGAGAGTCCCTGCTCTCGATCCCACCACTCTCGCAAATGCAGTTGGTGGGAACGAGAGACAGGGCCTTCTCGGCAGTGGCCCCGTCTGTGGAACGTATTTCCTGCTATGAACCATCATGAAGCTTAAGATCATCAGGAGAGGCTCTGCTCTCGATCCCACCACTCTCGCGAATGCGGTTGGTGAGGACAAAAGACAGGGTCTTCTCGGCAGTGGCCCCCCCGTCTGTGGAAATCTCTCCCTAAGGACATCAGGTTGACCACCTCCCTCCTGTCCTTCAGAAGACAACTGAAGACCTGGCTCTGGGGCCAAGCGTTCGATTAGAGGCCAGCGGCAATAGGAAAAGGAAATTTGGATTTTGCATCATGGATTCTCCCGGCTCGGCTTGGTTTTACTTGCACGTTGATCTATTAATGTATTGTTAAATTTTACTGATGATGTTGTACAATGTTTTAAAATGATTTTATTGTGAATTGTAATTTTTATGGTATTTATGCTGTTAGCATCCTCTGATGCTCATGTGAGGCTGCGCTGATTTCCCCTTGTGGGGAGAAGGGCAGGATATAAATATATGAAATAAATAAATAAATAAATAATAACCCGTAGGCTGTTAGGAATTGTGGGAGTTGAAGTCCAAAACACCCTGACAGCCCAAGTTTGCCCAAGCCTGGGTTAGTACTTGGAAGGGGGACCATCAATGAAGACTATGGGGGGTATAAACAACAACAACAACAAGAATGTTCTCCACCTTGAGGAGAGACTTGTGATAAATTGTTGTTGTTGTTTATACAACAACAACAATTTGTTACGTGTCTCTCCTCAACAACAACAACAATAATGTGCTCCACCTTGAGGAGAGACACGTAACAAATTGTTGTTGTTGTTTATACAACAACATGAACAATTTGTTACATGTCTCTCCTCAGCAACAACAATAACAACAATAATGTGCTCCACCTTGAGGAGAGACACGTAAAAAATTGTTGTTGTTGTTGTTGATGATGATGATGATGCTACGGACTATATTTCAGAAGGAGGAGGACTCCTTGCCTAAGAAAATGCCATAAAATCCACCCGTTTGCCCACTGGTTGGCAACTTCAAGACACAGGCACAAAGAGAAAAGATTTGCAACACAAACTGAGTGTTTCAGGACCTATTTATTGCCTTTTCTTACCATATCTTATTTTGGCATGCCAGGCTAAGACCTTTTCCAGCCACTCAGTTTCCAAACACTCAGTTTTTTTTAACAAACAGAAACATCTAAATATTCAAGAAAAAAATTCCAAACCTGGAAACTCATCACCCAAAGAGTACAGAGTAGAAGACAATGGGAAAAAACAAAACAAAACAAAAAAGAGAGGGTTATTCCTGAAGGGACTAAGACGTCTCTTTGGAAATTGCTCCAGCTGCCCTAAAGGTCTCAGTTTAAGGCCTTCACTCTCTCTTGATCCTCCAGGTCTGAGGCTGTGGTCTGCTCCTTGCTGAAACCAAACAGGAGGAAACGTGGTGAGGATCTGAGAGCTGTTTCAGTGCCACAGGTTTCTTCCAGGAACTTCAGCTAATGCCCACATACCCCCATTCAACAAACCAGGCCTGTGAAACATGTCCACTCCCAGGGAAGGAAGGAAGGAAGGAAGGAAGGAAGGAAGGGAGGGAGGGAGGGAGGGAGGGAGGGAGGGAGGGAGGGGAAGGGAGGAGCAGGCAGGCAGGCAGGCAGGCAGGAAGTGGGGAAAAAGAAAGAAAGAAAGAAAGAAAGAAAGAAAGAAAGAAAGAAAGAAAGAAAGAAAAGAAAGAGTTAGGGAAGGGAGAAAAAGGAAAGGAAAAGCAAAGAGAGAAGGAAGGAAAAGTAAGAAAGGGGGGGAGAAGGAGAGAAGGGAGGGAAGGAGAAAGAGAGGGAGAGAAGGAGGGAGGAAGGAAACAGTAAGGGAGGGATGCAAGGAGAAAGAAAGAGAATGTGGGAGGAAAGGAAGGATGGAAAGAAAAGAAGGAAGGAAGGAAGGAAGGAAGGAGAAAGAAAGAAAGAAAGAAAGAAAGAAAGGAAGGAAGGAAGAAAGAAAAGGGAAAGATGGAGGGAGAAAAAAGGCAGAAAGGCAAGAAAAAAGAGAGGAGGAAAAGTAAGAAAGGGAGGGAGAGATGGATGGATGGATGGATGGAAAGAAGGAAAGAAGGAAGGAGGGAAGGAGGAACAAAAACAGTAAGGGAGGGAGGCAAGGAGAAAGAAAGAGGATGTGGGAGGAAAGGAAAGGGATGGAAAGGAAGGAAGGAAGGAAGGAAGAAAAAAGAAAGAAAGAGGGAGGGAGGGACAGAGGGAGAGATGGAGGGAGGGAGAAAAAAGACAGAAAGGCAGGAAAAAAGAGATAAGGGGGAGGAAAAATAAGAAAGGGAGGGAGGGAGGGAGGGAGGGAGGAAGGGAAAGAAAGAAAGAAGGAAGGAAGGAAGGAAGGAAGGAAGGAAGGAAGGAAGGAAGGAAGGAAGGAAGGAAGAAAACAGTAAGGGAGGGAGGCGAGAAAGAAAGAGAATGTGGGAGGAAAGTAAGGAGGGATGGAAAAAAGGAAGGAAGGAATGAAGGAAGGAAGGAAGGAAGGAGAGAAGGTGGGAGGGAGAGAAGGGAGGGAGGGGAGAGAGGGAAGGGAGGAAGGAAGAAAAGGAAGAAAAAGAGGAAGAAAAAAAATAAAGACTAAAAGAAAGGGAAAGACAGTGGGAGGGAGAAAAAATAAAGAAAGGCAGGAAGAAAGAGAGAAGGAGGAAGGAAAAGGAAGAAAGGGAGGGAGGGAAGGAGGGATGAAAATAGGAAGGGAGAGAGGGAAGGAAGAAGAAAGAGAAAAGGAGAGGAAGAGGATGGAAGAGAAAGAAAGAAAGAAGAAAGAAAGAAGAAAGAGAAAGGGAGAAAGAAAGAGGAAGAAAGAAAGAAGGGGAAAGGGGGAAAAGAAAGAAGGGAAGGAGGGAGTAAGGAGAGAGAGGGAATGATGAAGGGGAGAAAGAAGGAAGAAATAAAGGAAATTAGGAAAAGAGAAAGGAAAAAAACTAAGAAAGGGAGGAGAGAAGAGAGAAGAGGAGAAAAGGAAGAAGGAAGGAAGGAAGGAGGAGGAAGGAGGAAGGAAGGAAGGAAGGAAGGAAGGAAGGAAGGAAGGAAGGATTCAGAATTCATAAAGTGTGGTTTAGTGGCTTAAACCTCAGGTTGTGGCTCTGAACCCACTGGGAGGCTTCAGCCAAGTCCTACTCTTGCAGCCTCAGAAGAAGATAAAGGAAAATCCCTTTTGAGCAAATTTTGAAATGCCTTGAAGGCTCACTACAATCCAAATTAATCATTCATTATACCTTACTTGGAAAGTGAGGTGCTAAAAATCTATGTGCAGGCCCCAAGAAGCTGAGCCTATTTAACTTTGGCCCCTGGCTACTACCAAAGGTGTGCAGGACTGCTATAAACAATGCCTTTACCTTTCGTTCTATTTTATTCTCTATTGACCTATCTTGCCTTTCCACCAAAGTGACTCACAATAAATTGTCGAAGGCTTTCATGGCCGGAATCACTGGGTTGTTGTAGGTTTTTTTGGGCCATATGGCCATGGTCCAGAGGCATTCTCTCCTGATGTTTCACCTGCACCTATGGCAAGCATCCCCAGACCTCACTACCTCTGACGATGCTTGCCATAGATGCAGGTGAAACATCAGGAGAGAATGCCTCTGGACCATGGCCATATAGCCCGAACAAACCTACAACAACCCAGTGACTTACAATAAGCTTGAGACGTGATAAAATGCAAGACTTAATGATAATAATAATAAACAATAATAATAAAAACCATGGGATTATATTTGTATCAGAGGCCTACATGAAACCAGAGCCTTGGTGGGCGATGACCCTCACGTTGAGGGGGCAATCCCAAGCTGCAGCTGCCTTGTCCGGCATGTCAATGCAGCCCATTGACAACGTTGTCGAATACCTCCAAGATCTCACAAGGAGGAGGAGAAGGGGGAGGCAATTTCCAAGGGGGGAGAAAGAGAACAGGAAGGGGACTGTTCAGCCCTGGCTATATTTAGCCGGAGGGGGCAACAAAGGGAGCGTCTACGAGAGAAAATGCCCAGAAAGGACGGACAGAGAGAGAGAGAGAGAGAGCCATCTGTTGCATACGTCTGTGATATGTAAAGAGCGACACCCAAATAGTTTCCAAGCTCAGTTATGAGGATTTTCAGGGATGACCATATTAAAATGCAACAGGATTTTGTAGGGCATTCAAACCTAAGCTTTTGTGTGTTGTTGTTTCTGCTAAAGTAGACCCCACAAAAGCTTAGGATCATAGGCTTCAAAGAGTCCCTAAGGGCCATCTAGTCTAACCCTATTCTGCCAGAAAGGGCACCATCAAAGCCCTCCCAACGGATGGCCAGCCCATCATAGAATCAAAGGATCACAGACTTGGAAGACACCCCATGGGCCATACAGTCTAATACCATTCCGCCAGGAAGGACACAATCAAAGCCCTTCCAACAGATGCCCAGCCTGTCATCAAATCAAAGGAACACAGACTTGGAAGAGACTCCAAGGGCCATCCACTCTAATACCATTCCACCAGGAAGGACACAATCAAAGCCCTCCCAACAGATGCCCAGCCTGTCATCAAATCAAAGGATCACAAACTTCAAAGAGACTCCAAGGGCCACCCAGTCTAGTGCCATTCTGCCATTCTAAGCCCTCCCAACAGATGGCCAGCCTGTCATAGAATCACAGGATCACAGACTTCGAAGAGACCCCATGGGTCATCCAGGCTAGTGCCATTTGGCCACGAAGGACACCATCTAAACCCTCCCAACAGATGTCCAGCCTGTCATTGAATCATAGGATCACAGACTTCAAAAGGACCCCATGAGCCATCCAGTCTAGTGCCATCAGAGCCCTCCCAACAGATGTCCAGCCTGTCATTGAATCATAAGATCACAGACTTCGAAAAAACCCCATGGGCCATCCAGTCTAATGCCATTCTGCCAGGAAGGACATCATCAAAGCCCTCCCAACAGATGGCCAGCCTGTCATTGAATCATAGGATCACAGACTTCAAAGAGACCCCATGGGCCATTCAGTCTAATGCCATTCTGCCAGGAAGGACACCATCAAAGCCCTCCCAACAGATGGCCAGCCTGTCACTGAATCATAGGATCACAGACTTCAAAGAGACCCCATGGGCCATTCAGTCTAATGCCATTCTGCCAGGAAGGACGTCATCAAAGCCCTCCCAACAGATGCCCAGCCTGTCATAGAATTATAGGATCATAGACTTGGAAGAGGACCATCCAGTCCAACCTGTTCCTGCCTTGCAGGAAAAGCACAAAGCCCTATGGAAAGATGGCCATTCAAACTCTGCTCAAAAGCATCTGAAGACCTCCAAGGACACTGTGACCCCTTCTACACTGCCATATAATCCATATTATCAAAGCAGATAATCCATGTTATCTGAACTGGATTATATGAGTCTGCACTGCTATACAACCCAGTTCAAAGCAGACAATCTGGGTTTTATGTGGCAGTATAGAAGGATTCTGAGAACAAAATGAATCCCAGCCTTTAAAAAACAGGGGGAGCTTCAATATCATAATAAATTGTGTCCGAGGTGTGTGTTTTTGCACAAGTTGTAAGTGATCCTATCTGAGATCAATGCAGTCCTCGACTACATTAAAAGGAAGGAAAGTGCTGAGTCAAGGAGGGTGGGGTGCCAAGGCTGCTTTCCCAGAAAAATAGTCTGCAAAAGACGGGGCTTTCAAAGCCATCCAATCTTATTCTCGTTGCCCTATTGCTTAGTTTCAATTAGGCCGATTGCAATGCTGCTTGCTAACAAATTGCGTGAACACTGAGTCAGGCTCAAGGCTTTTTCCCCCAGTTAGGTGTGGAACAACATAACTTCATGTTGACTTCATTTTGCTTTGTAGGTTTCTAACTATTCATTTTGAGACTTAGGAGAGTCTGAACTGTTGTTGTTGAGTGCCTTCAAATACGTTGTCAAAGCCTGGCTGCTTCCTGCCTGGGGGAATCCTTTGTTATATGCTTATAATATAATATAATATAATATAATATAATATAATATAATATAATATAATATAGTGGGTTAAAGCGCTGAGCTGCTGAGCTTGTTGACCAAAAGGTCGCAAGTTCGATTCCAGAGAGTGGCATGAGCTTCCGCTGTCAGCACCAGCTTCTGCCAAGCTAGCAGTTCGAAAACATGCAAATGTTAGTAGATCAATAGGTACCCCTGCGGCGTGAAGGTAATGGCGCTCCATGCCGTCATGCCGGCCACATGACCTTGGAGGTGTCTATGGACAATGCCGGCTCTTCGGCTTAGAAATGGAGATGAGCACCACCTCCCAGAGTCAGACATGACTGGACTTAATGTCAGGAGACATCTTTTACCTTTTATAATATAATGTAATATAATATATTGCATATACATATAATATTTATAATATTATAATGTAATGCAATATAATACTACTAATAATAATATATTGTAAGTATATATTTATATTACATGTAATATTACTAATAATATTACAATATAATGGTATAGTACAATATAGTAACATTTAATACTGATATTGTAATATGCTAATATGTATGTGTGTGTGTGTGTATATGTGTGTATAGATAGATAGATAGATAGATAGATAGATAGATAGATAGATAGATAGATAGAGTAAGCCGCTCTAGAGAGAGAGTAAGCCGCACTGAGTCCACTTCAGGGTGAGAAGGGCGGCATATAAATGTCGTAAATAAATAAATAAATTGTTGGGAGGTGTTAGCTGGCCCTGATTGTTTCCTATCTGGCATTCCCCTGTTTTCTAACTATTCGTTTTGAGCCTTAGGAGAGTCTGAACTGTTGTTGTTGAGTGCCTTCAAAGGCTTTCATGCCAGAGTCACTGGGCTTCAAAGCCTGGCTCCTTCCTGCCTAGGGGAATCCTTTGTTGGGAGGTGTGAGCTGGCCCTGATTGTTTCCTGTCTGGAATTCCCCTATTTTCTGAGTGTTGTTCTTTATTTACTCTCCTCATTCTAGAGTAAACACCTCCCAACCAAGGATTCCCCCAAGCAGGAAGCAGCCAGGCGTTGAAGCTACAAGGCCATTCAATTCTAATGAAGGTGAGCAATGGCAACATTCACACTTGCCTCAAGCGGACAAGAGTTTTTTTTCTCCCACCCTGGTATATAAACCTCACTTGCCTTATTTCCAACAGACCTCACAACCTCTGAGGATGCCTGTCATAGATGTGGGAGAAACGTCAGGAGAGAATGCTACTGGAACATGGCCAGACAGCCTGGAAAACTCACAACAACCCAGTGCCTTCAAATAATTTCTGACTTACACTAACAAGAAATGACAAACGGAAATTCGTTCCAATTCGGTTCCATTACCTTTCCTGCATTTTAGTCGACCTGTTCAGATTCGCAAATGCCTCCTTCTGTAAAATAGACAGAATTAAGTTTTTTGGGTTTTGTTTTTTAAGAAAGAGCATTCTCAAAAGCCACCCACTCTTTCCTCTCGCTTTGTCCCAAAAATGGACTGTTTACACCTGCTACTCGTCGGCTTTTTATAAACGGGACGAGCGGCGATCTCCTTTAAATAGTTTTCCATAGACCAGAATAACCGAGACTTGCTTGAGGCTCGAGTGTTCCGTTTTGCGTACGCACACATGCCATCGTGGTGAACCGCAAAGCCAAACTAAGCATTTGTGGAGTCCGCAAGAGCATAAACCAGTTAGTCTCTGGATTCCTTTCTGCCCTTTTATGCTAAGCTTATACTATACTATACTATAATATAATATCCATATACTGAAGACGCAGGTTCGCAGCTTGGGGTGTGACCCTGGACTCATCGCTGAGCCTGGAACCCCAGGTTTCGGCGGTGACCAGGGGAGCATTTGCACAGCTAAAGCTTGTGCGCCAGCTGCACCCGTACCTTGGGAAGTCTGACTTGGCCACGGTAGTCCACACTCTGGTTACATCCCGTTTAGACTACTGCAACGCTCTCTACGTAGGGTTGCCTTTGAAGACAGTTCGGAAGCTCCAAATAGTCCAACGCTCAGCAGCCATGATTTTAACAGGAGCGGAGCGCAGGGAGCATACAACCCCCCTGTTGCGCCAACTCCACTGGCTACCGATCTGCTACCGGACTGAATTCAAAGTGCTGGCATTAGCCTTTAAAGCCCTAAACGGTTCCGGCTCAAGCTACCTATCTCACTGCATCTCTGCCTATGAACCCACCAGGACTTTGAGATCTTCCGGGGGGACCCTGCTCTCGATCCCGCCTGCTTCTCAAGCACGGGTGGTGGGGACGAGAGATAGGGCCTTCTCGGTGGTGGCTCCTCGGTTGTGGAACGCCCTTCCTACGGACATTAGACTAGCACCATCTCTAATGGTATTCCGCAAAAAGGTGAAGACCTGGCTGTTTGAGCAGGCAATGATTGGTTAATGAACACTGGAATGGAACAATGGATGACGAATCTGGAACATGTTTTTGATGACGAGATGACAGTGAATGGGTATTGTAGTAACTGTTTATTAATTGTGTAATGTGTTAGGTTGTTAACTGTTTCTATACTGTAGCACTGAATTTTTGCTGTTCGTATTTGTTGTGAACCGCTGTGAGTCGCCTTCGGGCTGAGAACAGCGGTATATAAGTAAGGTAAATAAATAATAAATAAATAAATAATATTGATAATATTATAATGTAATACAATACTACTACTAATAATAATAATATATTATAATTATACATATATATATGTATAAAGAGAACTGGAGGCCTAGCCCCGCCCACGGGCTTTATATACTCGAGGGGGTGGGTGGGGCAAGGCAGGGGTAAAAATGTCTATTTTAATCTTCCAGAAGGTTCTGAAGCTGGTCTGCGCAGGCGCAGAAATACCATATGTGCGATTCACAGTTGACTACGACAGGGAATAATATAATATATTGTATTTACTTTTTACTTGTAAGCCGTTCTGAGTCCCCTTCGGAGTGAGAAGGGCGGCATATAAATGTCGTAAATAAATAAATAAATAAAATAAACAAACGAATCCGCCATCTCACCGCGATCCTTTCTTCCCGTTGCTTTTTCAGCAAGGCAATGATCTCCTCCCTCTTTTTCGTCTAAAAAACACAACGCAACATGCTTACGATCTTGAAATGAACGGAAACGAATCTGTGGACTTCTTCCACGGCGATTTCGATCAGCACGGCGATTTCGATCAGGAAAGATTCTTTACCCTGTGGGCTGTAACACTAGTAAATACCACTTGAACCATTTGCATTGAAGATAGATAGAGAGATAGAGATAAATGAATGTAATGTTCGTTTGTGAGATTAACATAACTCAAAAACCTCTGGATGAATTGACACCAAATTTGGACACAATACATGTATCAGGCTAACGAGTGACCATCACTCATTAAAACACAGCAAAAGAGACTTTAAAAGCAAAAAACCCCAAAAATACATTACAATGCATGTCCAAAACTACAAATATGCACAGACACACATATACAAATATATACAGATACATATAATCAGATATACACACACAAAACACATGTACACAGAAAGATGGATGGATGGATGGATGGATGGATGGAAGGAAGGAAGGAAGGAAGGAAGGAGAGAAGGAGGGAGAGAAAGAGGGAAGGAGAGAAGGAAATAAAAAATGAAAGGAGGGAAAGAGAGAGAGAGGGAGGGAGGGAGGGAGGGAGGGAGGGAGGGAAGGAAGGAAGGAAGGAAGGAAGGAAGGAAGGAAGGAAGGAAGGAAGGAAGGAAGGAAGGAAAGAGAGAAAGACGGAGGGAAGGAAGGAAAGAACGAGAGAAGGAAGGGTGGAACCAAAGAGCAACGGAAGGGAGGAAAGTCACAGGTAGAGAAGGAAGAAAGAATACGGAAAAGAAAAAGAGGGAAGGAAGAAGAGAAAGAAAGAAGGAGAGAAAGAGGGAGGGAAGGTTGGCCACAGCAACGTGTGGCGGGTACAGCTAGTATATACATATAAATGTAATGTTTGTTTGTGGGATTAACCTAACTCAAAAACCACTAGATGAATTGACACCAAATTTGGACACAATACACATATCAGGCCAACGAGTGATCATCACTCATAAAAACACTGAAAAACACAGCAGAAGAGACTTAAAAAGGCAAAAAAAAATTCCAAACATGTGCAAAACCACATACACACACACACAAAACACATATACACAGAGTGGGCCACAGCAACGCATGGCAGGGGATGGCTAATATATATACAACCGATCAATATCTTCTGTAACTCTACAGAATGATTTCCCAGCCAAAACTAACTAGCGACTTATGGTGCCCAAAGCTGACCATTCTTAATGCCACTGAATTATATCATAAAATAGTATAATAATAACAGGCAAACGGACTCGTTTCTCCCACTCATCCCATTTCCACCAGGCAGGTTAAATGGCTGCTATGGGATGAAATCCATTATACAATTATTAATTGCAATAAGTAGGAATGCCAGTGAGTAAAAAAAAAAAAAGAGAGAGAAAAGAACCTCATCAGCACTTTTCATCCCCTTTGGCTGCCTTCCCAGGATTAATACAGAAAGTGTTTTATGTCAAAGGGAAGGGGGGTGTGTGTGAAATACTAAAAATGACTGCAATGCTCTCTAGTTAAGAGGCAGGATATTGTAACATTAACTAGGGACTGGGTGGTTCATTGAACTAGAGAATGGCATTTCTTCATCTTAGCAGTCTTGTTTAAGGGCACGTTGAAGCCAAATATGTTGAGCGCATTTCAGGGGTTGATTAGGCAATATGGCCTTTCTTCACAAAAATAAAAAAGCAGCTGATTTCCTGGTTCATCCCATAACCGGTGTGCTCCCAACCAGTAAAAAAAAACAAAAAAACAAAAACCAAGGATGAGCCCCAAATGGAGTGGAAATGTCCTTTATGTCTCTAAAAGGCATTTGGAGGCAAAAAAAGGGGACCTTCCTGCAAAATTTTAATTTGATGGAAATGCCCTCCATATACTCAAGAGCGCTTTGGGAGCATATGGAGTCTGTCTGTCTGTCTGTCTGTCTGTCTGTCTGTCTGTCTATCTATCTATCTATCTATCTATCTATCTATCCATCCATCCATCCATCCATCCATCCATCCATCCATCCTACCTCTCACTATTTACAGCAGCTTACCACCATTGGTTGATGAGCGCAGTTTTATTGAGTTTTGGTTGGTGTTTTATATATGTATGTGTTTTACTTATTGTATTTTATATCTTGTTTTTAGACACCTCGTGCCGTGTGTAAGCCACCCCAAGTTTCTTTGGGGAGATGGTGGCGGGATATAAGAATAAAGTTATCTATCCATCCATCCACCCATCTCTATCACTCTCTTTCACTTTATTTCTTTCTCACTGTCTCTCTTTCACTCTCTCTCACTTTATCACTTGCACTATCTCTCTTTCACTCTTTCTCTCTCACTCTCTACCTCTATCTCTAACACTTGCACTATCTCACTATCTCTCTCTTTCACTCTATTTCTTTCTCACAATTTCCCTTTCACTCTTTCTCACTCTCTACCTCTATCACCTGCACTATCTCTCTCTCTCACACTATTTCTCTCTACCTCGATCACTCTCATTCACTCTCACTCTCACTATTTTTCACTATTTCTTTCTCACTCTCTATCTCTATATATATCTATCACTTGAACTATCTCATTCTCACTATCTTTCACTCTTTCTCTCTCACTATCTACCTCTATCTCTTTCACTCTTTCTCTCTCTCTCTACCTCGATCTCTCTCTCTATCACTCTCATTCACTCTCACTCTCACTTTCTCACTCTCTTTCACTCTTTCTTTCTCACTTTCTACTTCTATCTATCTATCTATCTATCTATCTATCTATCTATCTATCTATCTATCTATCTATGTCATTCTATCACTATGACTGTCTTTCATACTCACTCTACCACTATCTATCTCTCCCTGTTTCACTCTCTCTCTAGCACTTATCTATCTCAGTCACTCTCTCTCTCTTACTCTATCACAATCTTTCTATCAACATCTATCTCTATTACTCTTTTTCACTTGCTATTTCACTCTGTTCCACTTATTTATCTCTGTCACTCTCTCATTCTCACAATCTATCTCTATCACTTTTTCACTCACTCTCTATCACTTATTTCTATCACTATATCTCTTTCTCTTTCACTCTACCACTTATATCTCTCTCACAAACACACCCTATTACTATCACGTTCTCTTTTTCACTCTCTATCACTATTTCACTCTCTCTCCTACTTACCTCTCTCTATAACTATCTATCTATCTATCTCTGTCACATTCTCTCTCTCAGTCTATCTCCCTCTCCTGTGGTCCACATGGGGACCCCTGCCCATACTTTGCCCACCTTTGTCTTAAAGGAGTCCCAGTTTAAAATATGGAAATAAATTAAACCCCTTAAGTCTTTAAGATGCCACAAGAACCGCGATTATTTCCGGACAGTCGTATCCGTAAGCAGGAATCCCTTGTGGCTGGGTGGTGTTGGGCTTCCCTGGCAGAACATCTTTCTGGCCCCAAAACACTGTCTGAGGAATAGGGCGGTGGTCGAAAACACTGATTTATAGACACGATGCAGCCGGGAGGGATCAAAAGAAGACTCCTTTTTCTTCCAGAGCCCTCCTGCAATACAAGGCCATGCCTTTCTTTTCAATTTTACGCCTCCGACTCAGACCCCTTGGATGTCTTCCTCTCCCCCGCAGATTTATAATACCATTCAATTATCTCCATTCCTTTTTCTGGAAGAGATAATCAGCTAGAAAGCCTTTGGGAGGAAGGAGGCCACATTTCATGGCTCCAGGCACTCCCTTGCAAACATTCTCCACAATGTATAAGGAGATGCATGCGCAAATTCAGACTGAAGAAGTTTCTGGGTGTCACAAAAAGTCGACATATTCTTCGTATTTCATATGTTTTGATTGTATTTTTCAGACAAACGAGAACTCGGGAAGCTTTCCTGACTCGCATATTATGATAATTTGACTTGTCTAAGATGCTTCCTCTGCCTCAGATAGCAAAACAAACAAGGAAACAGATCTCTCACCTTCTTCAGGTACTGCTCTTTCATGGCATTCTTCTCAGCTTGGAATGCGCTCTGTTTTCTCTCTTCTTCTCTTTCTAAATCAAACAAGAATTGGGAGGAAATGTTCAATCAATGTCAAGATAAATGAAGTTGTTTAAGGACTAAGAAACAGAAGAATGCAACCTGTTGAGTTCAGATTAATAATAATAATAATAATAATAATAATAATAATCTTTATTTATATCCTGCCACCATCTCCCTGATGGGGACTCGGAAGATCTTGGAAGACAATCCTACTCGGACATGTATATATTTATAATATAATATATAATAGACATATAATAATAATAATAATAATAATAATAATAATAGAAAATTGAATTGAAAAATCGACAACAGGTCCCAAATGTAGACTCTGCAAGGAAGCAGATGGAACAATAGATCACATCCTCAGCTGCTGCAAGAAGATTGCAGATAGACTACAAGTAGAGGCATAACACTGTTGCTCAGAGGATTCATTGGAAGTTGTGCCACAAACACCATCTGCCTGCGACAAAGAACTGGTGGGATCACAAGCTGGAAAAAGTTACAGAAAATGAACACATCAAACTATTCTGGGACTTCCGAATTCAGACTGACAGAGTTCTGGAGCACAAGACTCCTGACATCACGATCAATCGTGTTAAAAAACAAAGTAAGGATTGTTGGTGTTGACAGGATTGAAGAGAAACAACTGGAAAAGCTGACACAATATGAGGATTTAAAGACTGAATTGCAAAGCTCTGGCACAAGCCAGTCAAGGTGGTCCCAGTGCCGACTGGCACACTGGTTGCAGTGCCTCAAGACCTTGGCCTGCACTTAAACACAATCGGCGCTGACAAAATTACCATCTGCCAGCTGCAGAAAGCCACCTTACTGGGACCTGCACGCATTATACGCCGATACATCACACAGTCCTAGACACTTGGGAAGTGTCCGATGTGTGATCCAATACAACAGCCAGCAGAGTGTCTGCCGTGGACTCATTTTGTTGTGTTTCAAATAATAATAATAATTCCAATTCCATACTCCACCAGGTGTTAATTTACTGGAGTTCTGGTCCATCTCTGGGTACATCTACATTGTGGAATTTATGTAGTGTGACACCACTTGAACCATCTTGGCTTGATGCTATGGAATCGTCGTAAGTTGTAATTTTACAAGGCCTTGAACCTATTTTGCCAACCCCCCCTCCAAACTACAGCTCCCATGATATTATAGCATCGAGCCATTTCAGTCAAAGTGGTGCCAAACTGCACTCATTTGACAGTGTACACCAGTAGTTTCCAGCCTTTTTTGACCAGGGACCACTCAACCTGGGACTACTTTGACCAGGGAGCACTCTCCACCATTAGTACCAAAAGGGCTATGAATCAGTTTTTGATCAGCTTTGGGTTCAGTTTGGTTGCTTGGAGTGCTGATTTAGAAAACTGCATTGGATAGACCACGGCAGCTCTAGTTTCCGATACAGAGCCTATGCCATCCAGTAGTCTTCATCTGCTCGCCCACAGAAAACCATATTTAATAATCTAGAGCTGGTGCAGTAGTAGTAATATCATTGTAGTAATGATGAAGGAGCTGACCATATTTTTATTCTTGAGGACCACTGGTGGTCCATAGGCCACAGTTTGGGAACCACTGATGTATAGGAATAATTGAAAGCAGCTGGAAATGAAATGGCTGCTGTGATGAACACATCTCTGAACAAAACAAGGCTTTCTGTATATAGAGATTGACAAATGCCACCCAAGAAGAAAACTAATATGTCAGGGGAGGCAAATAAGAGGTCAGTATTGCTATGCTAGCCTTTTTTTTCCTACAGGGAGTTATTAACTAGTAAAAGTAAAGGTTTCCCCTTGACGTTAAGTCTAGTTGTGTCCGACTCTGGGGGTTGATGCTCATCTCCTTTTCTAAGATGAAGAGCCGGCATTGTCCGTCGACGCCTCTACGGTCATGTAGCCAGCATGACTGCATGGAGCGCCATTACCTTCCCACTGGAGTGGTAGCTATTGATCTACTCACATCTACTCAAACTGCTAGGTTGGCTGGAGCTGGGGCTAACAGTGGGAGCTCACTCTGCTCCCCAGATTCGAACTGCCGATCTTTTGGTCATCAACTTCAGCAGTTCAGTGATTTAACCCACTGTGCCACCGGGGTGTGTGTGTGAGATATATAGTACCAGTATATATAGTGTGTGTGCATATATATACATATATATACACACACACACACATATATATGATATAACTACACACACATATATATACATTCATAAATATACATATACATATATATAGAGCTATATAGACATATGTCTAGTTATATATACATACATATTTTTGCGTTTTTTAATCTATTATTGTATATATGATATGTTCATATGCTTTTGACTTAGTTGTAACCTACCTCGAGCCATCAGGATAGGCGGGTAATAAATAAAATTATTATTATTATTAGTAGTAGTAGTAGTATGATATAAATATTTATATTTATAAATGCATATATAATTTATATATATATATACAGAGAGAGAGATATAACATTTATATATAGTATATATAAATAATATGTAAATATATATACATTTATATTAGTATATAAATATTTATATATGCATATATATATATATATAACATTTATATATATCATATTTAAGTATATGTAAATATACATTTATATTATTATTAGTATATAACTATTTATATTTATATATGCATATATAATATTTATATAGAGATATATATAACATTCACACATATCATATATAAATATATGTAAATATATATACGTTTATATTATATATACATATTATATGTATATATGTATGTATGTATATATAATATGTATGTAAAGGAAAGCATTAAAGAATGTGATGCCTTCCACAGCCTGCCTGCAGCCAATGCCCTCCGCTGTAGCATCTCTGGACTTTTTTGCCTTCTTCGAGTGCCAGGTTGGTATGTGCGCATTCGCTGCGCTGTTTGGCCCCAAACCAACAAGGAAACCCTTTGTCAGGGAAACGCGAGGCCTCCACAATTCACTTCCCAATCATTTTCATGCTGAAATATTGGCACAGATTCACAACTGCCTCTTGCTCAAGCGAAGCCGGATGCTTACTGTTGAAGGAGGGATGGGCAGAAATGTCATGTTTGCCTAAAAACACAAAAGAAAGAGATCAGTGAGCCGAAATTCTCAGGGCATTACTAACCCCTGCCTTTGGCAAAGGCATCGCCCAACTTTCCCCTTCCAATAGAGTTTTTATTTGGAATCACTGGGTTGCTGTGAGTTTTCTGGGCTGCCTGGCTATGTTCCAGAAGCATTCTCTCCTGACGTTTTGCCCACATCTATGGCAGGCATCCTCAGAGTTGAAAGGTCTGTTGGAAACTCAGCAAGTGGGGTTTTTTATAAAGCTGTGGAATAATGTCCAGAGTTGGAGAATGAACTCTTGTCTATTGGAGGCGAGTATGAATGTTGAAAACTGGTCACCTCGCTTAGCACTGAATGGCCTTAAAGCTTCAAAGCCTGGCTGCTTCCTGCCTGGGGGAAATCCTTTGTTGGGAGAAGTATTTTTGTTGTTGTTGATTGTTTCCTGACTGCTATGGATGACTTCTCTGGTTGAACTAGTCTGCAGTGCAGGTATCAGCCAGGTTTTGAAGATGCAAGGCCATTCAATGCTGGTCAAGGTGGTCCCTGGTAGTTTCCTGTCTGGAATTCCACTGCAAGAGGAAATGTTGTCATTGAACACCTCGATTAGCACTGAATGGCCTTGTAACTGCAAGGCATGCCTGCTTCCTGCTTGGGGAATCCTTGTTTTTTTTTTGGGGGGGGGGGTATTAACTCTAAAATCAGAACAGTAAATAAAGAACAACACTCAGAAAACGTTTATATTATATATACATATTATATGTATATATGTATGTATGTATATATGTATGTATGTATATATAATGTATGTATATATAATTCAAGGCAGGAAACAATTGGGACCAGCTAACACCCCTGGGCAAGAGATGCAGTTTGACACCACTTTTAAGTGCTGTTGCTCAACACTTTGTGTTCCTAGGAGATGTAGTTTCCCCAATGTCTGCCCCAAAACTACAACCTCCAGGATGCCATATCTTGAGCCAGTTCAAGAAGTATCAAAATGCATTCATCCCACAGTGTGTATATGTATATGCATTCATCACACAGTGTGACCCTGGGATCTGTAGTTCCTCCAAGGTCTTCAGCCCTCTCTGTAAGAGTGCTGGTGCTTCATCAAACTACAACTCCCAGGATGCCATAAATTGAACTCAAGTAGTATTAAAATACATTTATCCCACAGCATATTTTTGGGATCCTAGGATTTGTAGTCCCCCAAGGCCTTGCCTGCCAAAGAATCCCTAGTGCAGTGGTTCTCAACCTGTGGGTCCCCAGGTGTTTTGGCCTACAACTCCCAGAAATCCCAGCCAGTTAACCAGCTATTAGGATTTCTGGGAGTTGAAGGCTAAAACATCTGGGGACCCACAGGTTGAGAACCACTGCCCTAGTGCCTTGCCGAACTACAACTCCCAGGATGCCAGAGCTTTGCGCTCAAGTAGTATCGAAATGTATTCATCTCAGTGTGTGCATGTGTGTATATATGTGTATGTGTGTGTGTGTGTGTATATATATGAATGAGATCCTGGGATTTGTAGTGCTCCCAAGGCCTTGTCTGCCAAAGAACCTCTAGTGCCTTGCCAAACTACAACTCCCAGGGTGCCATAGCTTTGAGCTCAAGTGGTATCAAATTGCATTCATCCCAGTGTATGCAGATAGATAGATAGATAGATAAATGTTCCTGGGATTTGTAGTCCCCCAAGGCCTTGTCTGCCAAAGAATTGCTAGTAGTGCCTTGACAAACTACAACTCCCAGAGTGCCATAGCTTTGAGGTCAAGTGGTATCAAATTGCATTCATCCCAGTGTATGCAGATAGATAGATAGATAGATAGATAGATAGATAGATAGATAGATAGATGTTCCTGGGATTTGTACTCCCCCAAGGCCTTGTCTGCCAAAGAATCTCTAGTAGTGCCTTGACAAACTACAACTCCCAGGGTGCTATAGCTTTGAGCTCAAGTAATGCATTCATCCCAGTGTGCTCATATATATGAGATCCTGGGATCTGTAGTGCCCCAAAGGCCTTGTCTGCTGAAGAATACCTCTCAACCTGGGCTCCCCAGATGTTTTTGGCCTTCAACTCCCAGAAATCCTAACAGCTGCTAAACTGGCTGGGATTTCTGGGAATTGTAGGCCAAAAACATCTGGGGACCCAAGGTTGAGAACCACTGCTAGGCCCTAGTGCAGTGTTTCTCAACCTTCTTAATGCCGCGACCCTTAATACAGTTGTCTCATGTTGTGGTGACCCCCAATAATAATACTACTAATAAAACTTTAATTATAACCCGAAGGACTTGGTGCGCGTACAAGAGGCCGAGACCCGATACATCAATAAACAACAACAAACAATACATCCCAACCATAACTACTTCACAACTGTAATTTTGCTATTGTTGTGAATCAAAATATAAACATTCAAGATGCAGGATGTATTTTCATTCACTGGACCAAGTTTGAATACCCGATACGCCCAAATTTGAATTCTAGTGGGGTTGAAGGGGAGATTGATGCTGTCATTTGGGAGTTGTAGTTGCTGAGATTTAGTTCACCTACAATCAAAGAGCATTCTGAACTCCACCAATGACTGAATTGAACCAGTCTTGGCACACAGAACTCCTATGACCAACAGTAAATACTGGAAGAGTTTGATAGGCATTGACCTTGAGTTTTGGAGTTGTAGTTCACCTTTATCCAGAGAGCATTGTGGACTTAAATAATGATGGATCTGGACCAAACTTGGTACACAGACCGAACATGGGCAACTGTGAACACTGGTGGAATTTGGGGAAAATAGACTTGACATTTGGTAGTTGTAGTTGCTGGGATTTATAGTTCACCTACAATCAAAGAGCATTCTGAACCCCACCAATGATAGAATTGGGTCAAACTTCCCATACAGAACCCCATGACCAACAGAAAATACTGTATTTTCCGATGGTCTTTGGTGACCCCTCAGACGCCCCCTTGCGACCCCCCCAGGGGTTCCAACCCCCTGGTTGAGAAACACTGCTCTAGTGTGCCTTGCCAAACTACAACTCCCAGGGTGCCATAGCTTTGAACTCAAGTGGTATCAAATTGCATTCATCCCAGTGTATGCAGATAGATAGATGTTCCTGGGATTTGTAGTTCCCCCAAGGCCTTGTCTGCCAAAGAATCTCTAGTAGTGCCATGACAAACTACAACTCCCAGAGTGCTATAGCTTTGAGGTCAAGTAATGCATTCATCCCAGTGTGTGTATGTGTATATTGGTTGTTGATCATTCGTTCAGTCGTCTCCGACTCTTCGTGACCTCATGGACCAGTCCACACCAGAGCTCCCTGTCGGCCGTCACCACCCCCAGCTCCTTCAAGGTCAGTCCAGTCGCTTCAAGGATGTCATCCATCCATCTTGCCCTTGGTCGGCCCCTCTTCCTTTTGCCTTCCACTTTCCCCAGCATCATTCCCTTCTCCAGGCTTTCCTGTCTCCTCATGATGTGGCCAAAGTACTTCAACTTTGTCTCTAGTCTCCTTCCCTCCAATGAGCAGTCGGGCTTTATTTCCTGGAGGATGGACTGGTTGGATCTTCTCGCAGTCCAAGGCACTCTCAGAACTTTCCTCCAACACCACAGCTCAAAAGCATCGATCTTCCTTCGCTCAGCCTTCCCTATGGTCCAGCTCTCACATCCGTAGGTGACTATGGGGAATACCATTGCTTTAACTATGTGGATCTTCATTGCCAGTGTGATGTCTCTACTCTTCACTATTTTATCGAGATTGGTCATTGCTCTCCTCCCAAGAAGTAAACATCTTCCCATTTCCTGGCTGCAGTCTGTATCTGCAGTAATCTTCGCACCTAGAAATACAAAGTCTGTTACTACCTTCACATTTTCTCCCTCTAGTTAGCAATCAGTCTGGTTGCCATAATCTTGGTTTTGTTTATGTTTAACTGCAACCCAACTTTTGCATTTTCTTTCACCTTGATTAGAAGGCTCCTCAGCTCCTCCTCGCTTTCGGCCATCAGAGTGGTGTCATCTGCATATCTGAGGTTGTTAATGTTTCTTCCAGCAATTTTCACCCCAGCTTTGCATTCATCAAGCCCCGCACATCCTCGCATGATGTGTTTTGCATACACGTTAAAAAGGTTGGGTGAGAGGATGCAGCCTTGCCGGACGCCTTTCCCAATCTTGAACCAGTCTCCTGTTCCGTGGTCAGTTCTGACTGTTGCTCCTTGGTCCTTGTACAGATTCCTCAGGAGAGAGACAAGGTGGCTTGGTATGCCCATCCCACCAAGAACTTGCCACAATTTATTATGATCCACACAGTCAAAGGCTTTAGAATAGTCAATGAAGCAGAAATAGATGTTTTTCTGAAACTCCCTGCCTTTCTCCATCATCCAGCAGATATTGGCAATCTGGTCTCTCGTTCCTCTGCCTTTTCTAAACCCAGCTTGAACATCTGGCAACTCTCGCTCCATGTATTGCTGGAGTCTTCCTTGCAGGATCTTGAGCATTACCTTACTGGCATGAGAAATAAGGGCCACTGTACGGAAGTTGGAGCAGAATCTTTTATATATATATATATATAGAGAGAGAGAGAGAGAGAGAGAGAGAGAGAGAGAGAGAGAATCTTATAATATAGAATCTTATAATATATATAAAAGATTTTGGGGGACCCCAGGTTGAGAGGTATTCTTCGGCAGACAAGGCCTTGGGGGCACTACTGATCCCAGAATCTATCTATCTATCTATCTATCTATCTATCTATCTATCTATCTATCTATCTAAATATAAGATTCTGGGATCTGTAGTGCCCCCAAGGCCTTGTCTGGTGAAGAATACCTCTCAACCTGGGGTCCCCAGATGTTTTTGGCCTTAAACTCCCAGAAATCCTAACAGCTGGTAAACTGGCTGGGATTTCTAGGCCCAAACACCTGGGGACCCACAGGTTGAGAAGCACAGATTATATATATATGATTCTGGGATCTGTAGTGCCCCCAAGGCCTTGTCTGCCGAAGAATACCTCTCAACGTGGGGTCCCCAGATGTTTTTGGCCTTCATCTCCCAGAAATTGTAACAGCTGCTAAACTGGCTGGGATATCTGGGAGTTGTAGGCCCAAACACCTGGACCTGAAGATGCTAGAGCCAGTGGTTCTCAACCTGTGGGTCCCCAGATGTTTTGGCCTTCAACTCCCAAATCCTAACAGCTGGTAAACTGGCTGGGATTTCTGGGAGTTGTAGGCCAAAAACACCTGGGGACCGAGAAGCACCGCCCTAGTGCCTTTCCAAACTACAACTCCCAGGATGCGAGTGGGAAGTTCAAGGGCCCTCCAAAGGCATTCAAGAGTGTTCCCCTTTTGGAGGGGGGCTACCGGCGTTGGAGGCCCTCCTGGACCCGGCGACGGAGTCTTGTCCCTGCCCGGGCCCGGCCTCGTTGAAGAGGGACCCCCTCCGGGCCGCCAGGCAGGACTCGAGGGGCGGCTGGAGGGTCACCGAGTCCCAGAAGGTCTTGGCCAGCACCACGTCCTGCTCGCTCGAGCCCGCGAACACCAAGGACTCCTCCAGCGGGGACTCGCTCGAGCCGGGCGGAGGGGGAGAACCGCGCGCCCGCCTCGCAGGCCTCGCCTCCTCGCTAGGCCGCGTCTCCATGGCAACGGAGGGAGGGGAGGAGGGAGGGAAGGAGGAAAGAGGCCAAGGCAACACCCGAGCCCTCCCCACAGAGGGCCAGCCGGCCTCCTGGCTCACTCTTACGAATGATAGGGAGATGTAGATAGGAGAAAGGGTCCCGCAGCGTGGAGTTCCAAGTGTTGCTAGGTCAAGCTAAGGAACAAAAGTCACTCCAGCCAAAATTCTATAAACATAAATATTGAAATATTGTCGAAGGCTTTCATGGCTGGAATCACTAGGTTCTTGTATTATTTTGCTGGACCACCCCAACAACCACCATGTCAGACTACACAGAGAAGCCATTGAAATCCACAAGCATGTGGACAATTTCAACAAAAAGGAGGAAACCATGAAAATGAACAAAATCTGGTTACCAGTATTAAAAAAACTCTAAAATTACAACAGCAAAACAGCAGAGAGGAAACAACCAGGCACATCTTAACACCTCTCAACAAAAGATTTCCCAGGCTCAGCCAGGCCTTCAAATGCTAATGAAGGTGGTCAGTTGAAACATTCACATCTACCTCAAACAGACAAGAGTCCTTTCCCTCACCCTGGACATCATTCCACAGATATATAAACCTCACTTGCCTAGTTTCCACCAGACCCCTCAACCTCTGAGGATGCCTGCCATAGATGTGGACAAAATGTCAGGAGAGAATGCTTCTGGAACATGGTCAACCAACATTTAAAAAAACTCTAAAATCAGGACAGTAAATAAAGAGCAACACTAAAAAAGGGCAATTTCAGACAAGAATCAATCAGGACCAGCTAACACCTCCCAACAAAGGACCCCCCGGCAGGAAGCAGGCAGGCTTTGAAGCTGCAAGGCCATTCAATGCTAATCAAGGTGGCCCATTGCAACATTCACACCTGCCTTCGACAGACAAGAGTTCTGTCTCCCACCCTGGACATCATTCCACAGATATATAAGCCCCACTTGCTTAATTTCCAACAAATATCACAACCTCTGGGGATGCTTGCCATAGATGCAGGCAAAATGTCAGGAGAAAATGCCTCTAGAACATGGCCATATAGCCCGAAAAAACATACAACAATCCAGTGATTCCGAACATGAAAACCTTTGACAATGCTGTTGATGTTGTCTGGTTTTGTATTGCAACATGAACTTTTGTGGATATAAATCCACTTCTTCATAGGCAGTAAAAAAAGGTAAAGGTTGTCCCTGACATTAAGTCCAGCCGTGTCCGACTCTGGGATGTGGTGCTCATCTCCATTTCTAAGCCGAAGAGCCAGCGTTGTCCGTAGACACCTCCTAGGTCAAGTGGCCACTGGCATGACTGCATGGAGCGCCGTTACCTTCGGTACCTATTGATCTACTCACATTTGCATGTTTTCGAACTGCTAGGTTGGCAGAAGCTGGGGCTAACGGTAGAAGCTCATCCCACTCCCTGGATTTGAACCGGAGACTTTTCGGTAAGTAGGTTCAGCAACTCAGCGCTTTAACCCACTGCACTACCGGCGTCTCCTTAATTTATTAAAAGCACATTATTTTGCAGTTGTGAATTAAAAACTTGGAAAAATGTAGGAGTATCTAAAGCAGGTCTAGGCAAATACCTGGGAGTCAGTCTGGGCCATGCCTTGACTTACAAGAAGCACTGCTTGAATATCAAGCAAAAAGTGGGTGCTAGAAATAATATCGTATGAAAGCTGACTGGCACAACCTGGGGATCACAACCAGACACAGTGAAGACATCTTCCCCTGCGCTTCGTTAGATCTGCATGCCTAGTATAGAACAAAACAGTGAATGTGGCGCTTAATGAGACATGTTGCATTATCACAGGACCGCTGGAAAAAATGATATTGCTTATCTGGTATTGCACCAGCTAATAACCATTGGGAAGTAGCAGCCACTAAAGAAAGGATCAAGGCATTGACACCTCTGGCCCATCCTCTGTTCAGATATCAGTCAGCATGCCAATGCCTTAAATCAAGAAATAGCTTCCTGAGCTCTACAGAGATACCCTCAGGAACACCTCAGTAAGCAAGAGTCCAAAAGTGGCAGGCTAAAACCCCTGGTGGTGCAGTGGGATAATGCATTGAGCTGCTGAACTTGTTGATCAAAAGGTTGCAGGTTTGAATCCAGGGAGAAGTGTGAGCTCCCGCTGTTAGCCCCAGCTTCTGCCAACCTAGCAGTTTGATAACACACAAATGTGAGTAGATCAATAGGTAAAGTTTCAGCAGGAAAGTAACAGCACTCCATGCTGTGCTTCTACCATATGAAGTTTATTTTATTTATTTATTTATTGTGTCAGTAGCAACCAGATGGTTGTATTACATTTTTAACAAAACAAACAAACAGACAAAACACAAAGTTTGCATCTTGGTAGTTGATTAAATGTCCTTTGACCAGTATCTGGCCACTTGGAGTGCCTCTGGTGTTGCTAAGAAGGTCCTCCATTGTGCATGTGGCAGGGCTCAGGTTGCATTGCAGCAGGTGGTCTGTGGTTTGCTCTTCTCCACACTCGCATGTCGTGGATTCCACTTTGTGGCCCCATTTCTGAAGGTTGGCTCTGCATCTCGTGGTGCCAGAGCGCAGTCTGTTCAGCGCCTTCCAAGTCGCCCAGTCTTCTGTGTGCCCAGGGGGGTCTCTCATTTGGTATCAGCCATTGGTTGAGGTTCTGGGTTTGAGCCTGCCACTTTTGGACTCTCGCTTGCTGAGGTGTTCCAGCGAGTGTCTCTGTAGATCTTAGAAAACTGTTTCTAGATTTAAGTCGTTGACGTGCTGGCTGATACCCAAACAAGGGATGAGCCGGAGATGTCACTGCCTTGGTCCTTTCACTATCGGCTGCTACTTCCTAGCAGATGTCAGGTGGTGCAATACTGGCTAGACAGTGTAATTTCTCCAGTGGTGTAGGGCGCAGACACCCCGTGATAATGCGGCATGCCGCATGACCTTGCTGGTGTCTATGGGCAACGCCGGTTTTTCAGCTTAAAAATGGAGATGAGCACCAACCTGCAGAGTCGGACACGTCTGGTCTTAATGTCAGAGGAAAACCTTTACCTTACTAAAACCTGGAACTTCAATCAGTGGCTGATACTGGATGAGAAACTCCTTCCCGGGCATACAGAAGACTGGGAGACTTGGAAGGCTCTGAACAGGTGGCACTCTGGCACCACAAGATGCAGAGCCAAGCTTAAGAAATGGGGCCACAAAGTGGAGTCCATGACATGCGAGTGTGGAGGAGAGCAAACCACAGACCACTTACTACAATGCAGCCTGATTCCTGCCACATGCACAATGGAGGACCTTCTTGCAGCGACACCTGAGGAAATTTAATATAAGGCCAATTTGTGGCATAGACACTGAGAACTGGCAAGCCCTGGCCCTTGAGTACTCTAGGTGGAGGTCAGCTGTGACCAGCAGTGCTGTAGAATTTGAAGAGGCACGAATGGAGCGAGAAAGAGAGAAACATGCCAAGAGGAAGGTGTGCCAAGCCAACCCCGACTGGGACTGCCAATTCTAGTTCAACTCCCCTGCCCTACCCCGAAAGATTGTAAGAATATTGATTCGATAAATCAGTGCTCGCTTCAGCAGCACATATACTAAAATTGGAATGATACAGAGATTCCATAAATCTAGCCTTTATTGTACTGCAAGAGACTTTATTATCATTTAAAATAGCAATCGAAGAGATCATATGATGGAGCATGCATTAAAAATGAAAAGAAAACGGGGGGAAAATTCCCCAAAGTACTAAAACGACAGTGACAAAGCAGGCGCATATGCATTTTCATTTTCCTAAACGCTGCCAAATGCCGTTTAATCCACTCGAATTAATTCTGCGTTGGCAATACGTCTCTTCTTAAGTAACTTTTATTTGACTCAGAATGACTTGGGTTTTTCGAGGGTGAAGCTCTGCATTTGTCGGGATGCAAGAAGGAGGGGAACTTCCCAATCGGGTGGACATTTATAAGAGGGATGCCTGTCTTTATTTACAATGGTGTCCACTGGGGTTTGAGGCCCATGTTCCCATTGGTACAGCAAACCATGGATGCTCAAGCCCTCTTAAATATAGTCTATATCAATAAAAACGTAATGTTCATTTGTGGGATTAACATAACTCAAAAACCACTGGGCAAATTGACACCAAATTTGGACACAAGACACCTCTCAGGCCAATGAGTGACCATCACCCCTAAAACACACACAAAAACCCCATCAGAACGGACTTTAACCCCCCTGCAAATAAACCGTATATACATATACACATACATTCATATACATATGCACACATACATACACACACACATATATACGCAAGCACACACAAATATACACATACATATACACCTATATACATATACACATATATACACACATATAAACACACATATGCATATACACAAGCACACATATATACACAATATACATATACACATGCACACATATTTGCAGACACACAAGCACACACCTACACACATATACTTCTATACACATATACATATACACATACATACACACATACATGCATATACACAAGCACACACATATACACAATACACATGCAGACACACACATATATACAAACAAGCACACATATACACCTACACACATATACACATAAATACGCACATATATACACATATATGCATATACACAAGCACACACATATAAACAATATACATATACTCATACACAAATATACACCTACACACATATACATACATACACACACACATATATAAACACACATATATGCATATACACAAGAACACACATGTACACAATATACATATACACATGCACACATACATGCAGACACACACACACACATATATACGCAAGCACACACAAATATACACCTACACACATACATATACACATACATACATATATATAATACACATACACACAATATATATATATGTGTGTGTGTGTGTTTGCATATATGTGTATGGTTTTGTGCATGCCTTGTAATTTTTGTTTTGTTTTTTTTAGTCTTATCTGCTGTGTTTT